CCATCAAAGAACATAGACTAATAACATGCAAAAAGTAGTCAATTTCCCCTAACTCTCCAAATTTTTCTGGATTTCTAACTATGCAACAAGAGTTACAAATTCATCCAAGATAGTCATTAACTTTCCCATGGGAACAAAGCTTGTACTCTGAGTGAAATTGATGCTTATCTCTTCAGATCACAATGTTATACAATACCTCATTTGATAGATGAAAACCTTCACTTTCTATTGGTTATAGGTAATATATATTTAAACATAAGAGAGAACTATTAAAAAATCCTGAAATAGAGGATGAGACAGGTGGGTGTGGCAGGAGGTATCTGATTTTCTGTTTGATAGCTCTGTAACCAAACAAAATTGAAGGTTATAAACATCATGGTTTATCTCAGCAATGATGATTTTATAGTGAGTAACTTACATTTAATTTCATACATTTTGGAGAGGTGGTGCATAAAATACAGAAGATGCCTAGAGAAAATGTGTCGTGTGTCACAATAGGGGAAATTCAGGATTTTTTAAATTATTGCCTTTTAGAATTAAAAACTTAAAACTTATATACTATTAACATATGGATTATTAGCTTTTATTTTATGCCATCCTAATTAGTATAACATAAACAAAAAGTAGTTTAATAAAACTTTGAATGTAAGACACTAAAACTTTGTGTCATGCTCAGTAAAGGATACCCGTCACGATAAGGTTTAAATGATATTGAAGCCTCATCATGTTGTTACAGTCCATGTTAGTCATGTCTCATTTGATAATATCAATCTTGTGCTCTGTAGTGTAGTTTCCACTGCAAAAGACACCATCATAAAACTGTCATGTCCTAAGCATACCACAATTCCCTTCAAACCTTCAGTGATCAACCTATGGATCAACTTATGGAAATCCAAAGGCACTGCATAGAGCAGTTTGAATGGTATGTCTTTGTATAGAGTAGCATAAATACCCATTTCATTCTCCAGATGCTTGAAGTAAGCAATAGTTGAACTGATGTATACATGACTTCTCTCTTTCCCACATGAAAATCCTTCTTATTTATGTTGTGTATTGTTGTCTGGAACATGTGGATAGATTTTGTCATTGATTTGTTTGTTCGTGGATTCTCATTTGTTACAAGATGCTGAACTTTGCTTATCACAGCAGTGGTATGATTTGTTGCACGTCTTTTTTATGGATGATCCTGGTGGTCCAAGTTGATCCACAGTCCACAATCTGAACATATCTTTATGATCTGAATGTGACTATTTTGTTTTAGAAATGTCCGTTGCATACCCTTTGCTCAAGTGGTCAGTTTCAGTTCCATTATATTACCTAGGAAATGGTAAACAATGTCAAAAGTATTTCTGATACATGTAGTTTCACCATGACTTTCTATCAGCTGTGGTTGTCATATGACCTGCTGATTTGCACATTCAAAATTGTTTTAATTAAATGTTCCCCAAAATAAAAAAAGCTAATTGTATCATGAGATCAACAGAAAGAAAATAAAAAACATGCTATGTGGCGTAATAGTTTTGTGTTTCCATCCTTGTTGAACTTCACTTGGTCCCAGTTCACAACTTACACTCTTTTTATGGCTGCATAAGTTGGTTTCCATTCATTGTTCAGCCTCACCTGGCCACAGATTACACTCTGTTATAATTTTTAATAACTGAAATATAATGACAATGAATGTCAAGGAAGCTGCATTAACACATGTGACAATTTTATGTTTTCTTTCTACAACTAAGGTGTGTTGATTGTAAAAATCTAGGCAAACACATCAATGAGAAGGACTTTTGTAGGTTCATACTGAATAAATTGATTGACTGTTTTTGAAGCCATTAAATCATGACAATCAATTTGGATGATCCCTCAAACACTAAGGAAGGTGATGTCTTGATGCACTGTATTCTCTTACACTAATGATATGCGATAAGAAATAGCAGAATGAATTAGACCTAATTAAATTAAATAAAACAAGTTTGCCATAAGTTGTAAGTAATCTCAACTTTACTCCTACTTATCATACTACTAATAACCTCTGATATTTATTTGTTTATAGTTGCTTTCTTTTAAAAAATTGATTACACTAATAAATACATTGAATGTCACTACTTTTTACTTTGATTTATTGTTTATTATTATTATTACAAATTTATTACAAAAATTGTTTTGCATTGTTAGCTTAATATATATATATATATTTTAGGACTAACTTAAATCTTCTAAGCTGGCTGAACCACATAAGATATTATTGGTATTAAGGACAAAAATATCACGAACAGCAAGGATGCCCAACTGATAAAACAATGCATTTTAATTATTATAAAAAGAAATATAAGAAAAGTGTATTTAGTTAGTTATACTGATGGCCAGGTTGACTGAGTTTTGTACATAGATTACTCTGATTGGAAATTATTAATATTTCCTTAACGTTCCTAAAAATTCTGTAATTTACAACTTTAATTTTGTTAGATTATTGGTTATTATTAATATTTAAACACATTAAATATGTTGTAATAGGACAGTACATAGCTGTACAAGTAGATGTTCATAACAATTAAATTTTAATTAATAAAATCATAGGCTAGTCTATACTTATGAGTGAGTGATTGTTTGTCAAACTCATAAAGCTAGATAATATTTAGCCATTATGGATATCAAATATACACATGTTCAATACTACCTGGCAAAAGCAAGTTGGGGCCTAAAATCAATGAACTTGTTGATGTTGGGAAACAAAATTAATTTTACTCACCCCATCTCCAGACCATCTTGCTGGTGAATCTGGATTATCCTTACAGGAACCTGAAGACTGTGTAGATTTTGTCGCTGGCTGATACTGATATTTTCTTAACAGGTGTGTGTAATCTGTTGGGCTTCGTTGATAAAACATATAACTACCTCCCCCTGCTGTGTCCACTGTCACTGAGGTAAAATAAAAAAGAAAATTACATGGAATTTTGTTGATAGTTCCAAAAATGGCCAGCAGAATTCCAGTAATAAGCATATACATTAACTAATCCATCCAAATCTTATATAGTGAAAACAACAACCGTCCCATCCTTCTTAAAAACTGTAAAATTCTCAACTCCAAAACAAAAACTTATAAATTTTTTTTTGAAGAAAGCCTTTTTCATTTTCAATTATCACCCAGCACTAGATAATAGCATCAACTCATCTCTGTTGTGATTAATCTACTAATTTCCAGTTTAATTTTTAACATTTCTCTCAAATATGCGATTAAAAATTCAGTGGTTTATACCTATATTTTATCTGTTCTTCATAATGATTTCTCTTAACTATGTTATTAAACATATGTCTGCCATACATTTTATCATACATTCTATTATATTATTACTGTTTAAATCTGAGTTCTTTCTAAATGTCTATTTGTACAAAAAAAAACTTCTCGTTTAATAGCTAATGTTGTTTTTGTAATTAGAATGTTGTGAATTAATTTTTTTGAAGTTTTAGCGATGAAGATGGAATTTTAAACAATTCCAAAACATCTGTTTCTAATATTTATTTTGGTACAAAACATTATTACAGAAACTACAAAAGAAAAGCAAATAAATGGACAATGTTTTTTTTATGTAAGCTTTTTGCTTTACAGAGCATTACACCTTGTTTTCATGCTGCCATACAGTTTATTAGTGTCTGACTGTGGAATGTTGTCCCAAATTTCCTTTACTACTATTGTTTGTTTGTTTTTAATTATGCACAAAGCTACACCAGGGCTATCTGTGCTCTGCCCACCACGGGTATCGAAACCCGGTTTCTAGCGTTGTAAGTCTGCAGACATACCGCTGTGCCACTGGGGGGCTACTACTATTGCTTTTTGATCTTCTTAAACAGATAAAGTCCAACTTGGTCTTTACAGAACTGTTAAAGATATTTAATTGAAAGAAATGTAATAGTGTTAATTATATGAATAATTATGTTACATTCATAAACATGACAATGTCATCTTCACATTTTCTAACTATGAATTACTTAAAATGGAGCATGAGAACATGGGCTATCCTTTGGTTTTGTTCCTAAGAAATCATAAGATCTTGAAGGACTGCCACGTGTTTCTGTATATTGAAGAAAACTCTGACAAAATGAGAACCTATGTTAGAAATCCATAACATCTCAAGAAGAAAACAAGTTCTTGTTCAATATGGAAAACATACAAAGGTACTACGTCAGTGGAGACTCATGTTGGAATAATGTATGTTTAACTAATAGAACATTCATATTAAACAAGTAGTTTCAAATACTGATGCTTACAACCATACACTATTCAACTTAAGTTCAAACTTGGTATTTTCTTCTTCAGATAAAGAGAAAGTCCTTTCCAAACATGTTCTCTAAATTGACGTCTTTCAAATCCAATTAATCACCTTTCATGTTTAATGCAACAATTTATGATCAGGTTGATGTGTTGATATCAGATATAAACATGCACATGCTATGGCTAATTAGTGGCACCAAATTCAGCTAAGTTTGTCAATGTATTTCCCATGGAAATAAAGTATGAAGTGAAAGCAAAATTGAGAATCTTCTGTACGGAAAACAATATAACATACACAAGTTACAAGATGCTCGCGAGTGTACCTTGTGAAAAATTATTATTGTTATTATTTATATTACCTTACCTAATCTAAAAAAGTCCAATTTTTACATTGTAGTTACTTTTATAATAATAAATAAATACATATGAAAAACAAGAAACAAAGTTCTTATCTGGGTCTTATTTTTTTTTATGACACTTAACACTACTTTTTTGTACCACTGGTACTGATGCACTAAATAAGGCACCAAAGAACACAGAATAATCACATGCCAAAGGTAGACAATGTCCCATAGTTATCACAATTTTTCTGGCTTTCTATCTATGCGACAAGAGTTGTTAAAAATTCAGCTAAGTTTGTCAATGTATTTCCCATGGAAATAAAGTATGAAGTGAAAGCAAAATTGAGAATCTTCTGTACGGAAAACAATATCAAATGTCAGAGAAAATTATTGACAATTTCTGAAAAAGAGGATGTGACAGGTGGGCATGGCAAGATGGGGTCTGATTTTCTATTTGATGGCTCTGTAACCAAATAAAATTGAAGGCTATGAAGATTGTACTTTGCCTGATTATGGCAAAATTATGAGTAATCTACATTAAATTTTGATGTTCTTGGAGGGGTTATAAATAAATTAGAGAAGAGAAAGAAAATGTCAATTCTCATACTAGGGAAAATTCAGGACTATTTAAAATATTGCCTTATAAAATTAAGAACTTAAAACTTATATACTATTAAAATTTGGTTTATTAGCTCCATTTTAAAGCCAGATTTGTTTGTATACCATAATAACAAAGTGGTTTAATTAAATCTTAAATGTAACTGATTAAAATCTTGTGACATGTGTAGAAGATAATGGCAAGAAGGTTAAAATTGGAATTATACTATTTGTTTTGTGTATTTATGGCAAAGCTACTAAGGCTGTCTGATACCATCCCTAATTTTTAACCACTACCCAGAGAGAAGGTAGCCAGTTAACAGGACCCTACTATCAATAGTAAGAAATTGATTGTCACTCATATAATGCACCTATAGCTTACAGTGTGGGGAATATTTTGTGGTATTGCACATATTCAAATTCAGCTCACCAGCTCCAAAATACAAAAATCTACCATAAGGCCATTTGTCATAGTATAATTGCATGTACTTTTATAGGCTTTATACTGATGTGACTCTTTCTGATTGGGTGGATAACATCCAATCACAAAGTAAACTACCAGCACATAACTGTACTGTGGTTCAATTAATTTTCATATGATAAAGGTGGTGGCATTACCATTATTTGCCTTTTGCACCTTTTCTCTTCACCATTTCCATGATTACTTCCACTAGTATGTAAAAATTGGACTTTTTTAGATTAGGTAAGGTAATATAAATAACAATAATAATTTTTCACAAGGTACACTCGCGAGCATCTTGTAACTTGTGTAATTTTATACTGTAATGTGAGCTGTATGTTCGCTATGTGATTTACAATTTATATGGCACAAATATTAATTAGACATGGTTCAAGGAGAAATAAAACATAAATTTAAGTATAAATATATGTATACTGTTCTGAGTTTAATGCTCTTTAGGATAAACAAATGTTGTTTCATGTTACAATTTTAAGTCATTTTAGAAAGAAATAAGAGTATTTAGATTTATTTAGATTTTTTTGGTGATTACGAGGTTGATTAAATTGTAGAGTTAGGGTAGAGAAAATAACAGACAAGATATAAAGTTTTACTGAAAAATACTTGAAATCTATTTAGGAGTTTTTAGAGATTACGCAAATGAAATTTGAGATTTTTGAGTCAAAGAAAAGAAATTTTAATCTTAACATGATAATAACTCTTAACTCGGACTAGTCACACAAAAAACTCAGTATATTCATGGACAAATCTTTTGTAAAAATACTTTGTTTAAAAATCTGATTTTTGTGTTCAGAAGTCTTGTAATGTTTACTGAAAGTTTTACACATTTTGTGAAGATACACATACTATATTATAAGTTTTAGTATGAAAACTATAATGAGTACAAAATGGTTACAAACTATGTCTAATCGACCAACTCTGTGGGGAGAGAGTTAACTTCCAGGACTGAAATACTGTAAGACAAACATGTAGAACTGCTGAATTCTGTTGATTAATTCTGGGCTTCAAACTGGCAGTTATGAAACTCTCTTTATCTTGTTTTTGCTCTTAATCAAATCACCATAGTAAACAGATTCTTCATTGTAATAAATACGTTACTATTCAAGTGATGTTGTCCAATACTATATGAGTTAAGAATTTTCCATGAATATGCTCTTTTATATAGGAGAGAGCCTAAGCATTCATCCTCACATGAAAGGCATACAAATTTATAAACCAGAAATTACTTATTATTGTTTTGTTTTATGGTCTTAAAATAGATGTTGCATTCTAATAATAGTCCAAAAAATTCACGTAATTTCAACCTGTATATAAACTCTGCCTGATATTAAGATATTATATACTGAGAATGCTGTCCTGAAAATGGTAACAATACAACTCATACTGTCAGGCTCATTACATTTCAGTAAGTTTTGGATATGATTTATTTCAAAACAAAAGCTAAATCATCCTTGCAATCTTGTATTTTAAATAAATTTACTTTAAAAATGTGTATAAAGTTCTGAATACATTGGTTTATGATAAATACCTGTTTCAAAATACATTATTATTGGAAATACATTTTCAATTTTAGAAAATGTTAACTTTTGTCACTAGTGGTAGTTGTTCTTTTGTATGACTATTCTGTTATTAGTTATAGTTGTTGTTCCATGAATATTCTTTTACTAGTTATACTTGTTGTGCTATGAACATTCTGTTACTAGTTATAGTTGTTGTGCTATGACTATTCTGTTACTAGTTGTAGTTGTTGCACTATGACTATTCTGTTACTAGTTGTAGTTGTTGTGCTATGACTATTCTGTTACTAGTTATAGTTGTTGTGCTATGAATATTCTGTTACTAGTTGTATCAACACATAATTATTGTACTGAGAAGGGAAGGAATGCTAAAATTACAACTTATTTTTCCATATATACACAGTGTAGTCACAAGTAAATAGACACCACCTTTTCGTTGTGTTCTTGTCCACGAAACCCGAGGAATAAAGTGGCAAGAGTCCTTCCTCCAATATTCCAACGTATTTCGCAAAATTTATGTTGCCAACGCACTCCACTAAGCTCGATCTCCCACCAACCCAAACAGCTCCCGAAACCATCATGCTGAAACCACCATGCTTCACAGGTAGCTGCAATCTGTTGAGCCAAAACTCTTGGTGAGGAATTCTCCAGACCCATATCCTTCCACTGTCCGAAAATTGAGCGAATCTTGATTCATCTGAGAACAATACGGTTTT